AAATATTGCTATGGGTATCAATACAGTTAAATAGAAAGCACCAGGCCTTATCCTGGACTCAAAGGATTTGGGCTTGATCCTCAGGAAGCCACTTAGTCATATAACCTTGAACAAGTCATATAACCTTCACTACCCTCTCAAGTTAGAGCAATAATATCTTCTTTCTGGGATAGTTTTAAGGCCAAATAAAATCTTACATTTTAAAAAATACTTCATTATTTTTAGAGTTCTTTCACATATACTTAAGTACAAGGTTAAAAGATAAGCACTTAACCATCTATTTCATCTTTCTCAGAACTCAGAACTCATTCCCAGTTATGGCAGATCAAATTAAAACTCTGAGTCTCCTTCAAAGTGGTAAGGACAGGGGAAGTAGAGGCCACTGCCTAGAACCAGCAAGTCCCCATTACCATCCACTTCTGCTCACAGCAGTTTGCGTCCTTCCTTCCTCCCCAGAGTACAGCTTTCTCTTAGTTTGTTGTTATTACTTTGGAGAATTAACCCTCCAGATATTTCTGAATGAAACTTCCTAATTGCCAACAACACTTACTCTGGTTAATGAGTCTGCAGAGTTGTTCAGAATCCAGTAGCTGTTGAGGTAACACACAACAATATGTTGAGATAATGACACAAAGTAAAACTACCTCATGGAGTCCTTTAAACCAGAATAACTGCCTCCTGGAGTCTTTTAAACCATGAGTGAGCCAAGCTTTACTCAGGTCTGGCCTCTCATCCTTTTTTTATATCAACAAGTAGGAATTCAAGCAGATCTATTTTCATCAGCACAATATTATTATTCTGTAGCTAACAAAACTTCTTTTTGGGACAGTGTTCTAACTTTCTGGGATGTTCTGGTTACTGTGTGCAGCAGCTTCCTTAATTGGGGAGATAAATACTTGCTGTTTGCAGCATAGTTGCATGTGCTGCTTATTATAGAATGTTCCCCATAAGATGGAGTCACTCTTGGCAAGTGACTTGCCTCATTGTGACTCCAAATAGTAACAGAAAGGAGACACCTGTAAGAGAACAGAGAAATTGATGGATTTCAGAAGGCTAGAGAGATCAAGTGACCAAGTAGCCAAATGGAAATGTAATTTGTACAATTCAGCAGTAACAAAAATCCTTAAAATGAACTGCCTGAAAGTGTATGGAATCAAAGTATTAAGTCTAGCTAAGTCTCCATGGCCTCAAAGAGGAAACAAATTAAGAAACTGTACAGAAAGATATGTTTGGTGTAGAACATCTAATTGCTGTCTCAGCTAAACTAAACATGGAGCTCACTGGGGAGAACTGGTTTCTTTTTCATCTAAGCCAGTGGCTCTCAGCCTTTTCCCCACATTCAAATCATTCTTATAAGAACCCCCTCCCCTCCATAATGTCTCTCATTTTAAGTAGAGATTGATAGCAGGAGAGGAAGAGGTGCATTAGAAAAAACTCTTACCCCTATTCCGATACCTAATTAATGCTCCCACCCTCAGAATCACTGATTTTAACAATCTGAAAATCTTGAAAATCTACCAGAAATCTATCTCATTAATGAAAGTATGTTGTCTTTTAAAAACACCACTGTCTGAAAACCCTCCATGTTTTCATGAACTGTCTGATTGCAATGGAGCTGAAAAAAAAAAAAAATCAGGACTGGTTTTACAGTCATGAATCTGACATATGGAACACAGAGAACAATAATCAGATTAAGCAACTAATCAGGGTGAGCGACATGAGCTGAGAAAGCGAGCATTCCCTCTAGGTCATATCACTGTACAGAGGGCTGTCTGCATTTTCCCCTTTTATATCTAATAAATTTTTGCCATTTTTTAGTCATGATTTAAATAATACTTTGGGGGGGGGGACAGGCAATGCTGCTCTCTGAATTGGTTATTCTTACCATTTTTATCAAAAAGAGAAAAGTATGATGAATTAACCTGGTAACCTTGTCTTTATTCTTAGCAGATTTGAGCTTTAACATTCTTCATGCTTCGGGATACAGCCTTCCCTCTGTCCCTCACAATTTTGTGACTGGGAAAAAAGTCTAGGACCTATGTTCTTCAAGAACCCATCCCCATGATCAAACACAATATTATTATGTTCAACCTACCCATCAGTCCTTTTACAGCCAAATAAAAATGGATTACTCTAAGAAAACATAGTATTCATCAAGTATCACATCTTTCTAACTAGCTAGGCTGATGTAAAGCAGGTCTACACACTCTCTTTGAAGCTCACTGGCTCAGCATACAAGAAGATTCAAACATAACAGATCAATTTAGAGAGGTTCTCCTCATCTGGGAGAAAAATAAGCAAAACCAAAGTGAAAAAAATAACACTATTGAAAATAAAAGCTAGCATATGTTTTGGGAAGAGAAAAAACAAAAGCAAAAATGAATCCATGTGACAATCAAAAGAAATATTTTCATTTCCTTGCTCCTCTATGTGCCCAGGCACAGCTTCAAAATAACTATTTCATACTAAAATCAGTTTGGTGGCACAGAAATGGTAATTCAAATCATTATAAAAGAAAAGTACTCTAAAATGTGGAAATTCAATAAATGCCCATGAGGCAAAAAGAGCATAAGGTAAAGAGCCAACTGGGGGGTCTGAAGATTAGCTACTCCTGCTCTGGTCACATTTCTGTTAAAACTCTTCATAGATAGGAATATCCCCCACCATTTGACACCCTCTACTGAAACAACAAAAGCACCATAAGAAACACCAATGATAACAATTACTACTAGAAAAACCTGAAGGAATCCAGGCAGAATTTTCTACATTAATTTTTTTAAAACTGACACTCAAAACAAGAAATTCCAATGACATTCTTCATAGGAAAAGAAAAAGCAGTTATGAAATTCATTTGGAAAACTAAGAGGCCCAGAATAGCCAAAGCAATACTTAGCAAGAAAAGTGAAGCAGAAGATATCACAATACCAGACCTTAAATTACACTAAAGAGTTATAGTAACAAAAACAGCATGGTATTGACACCAAAACAGGAATGAAGACCAGTGGAAAAGAACAGAGACAAAATCACATGCAAACGCAATAGGCTTACTAGCTTTGTAATTTTGGACAATTTACTTCACCTTGTGCTTTAGTGTTCACTAAAGTGAAGAAAACAGCACCAACTCCTAAAAATAGTTGAGGATTAAATGAGATGATATAATAAAACTCTGCACCACATCAGTTAAGCTACTACTCTTATTTTATCTACTTTGCAAGATTAATCTAAGGATTAGAAATACATATAATTTACAGAATCTATGTCTGAAAATACTAAACATTGATATAATTGAAATGAACACATAAAAAGTCCTGATCACAATGCCTGTCTCAAGTGAAATCTCAATTCCTAGTTGCAGTGCTGAATGTCTCTATGGACCCAAGATTATAGGGTCTTAGACATCAATAAACATTGCTCTTTTACTCATAACAATATTTCCCAATGTGACAGCATCTCCTCAGGATAATAAGATACTTGACCCTTGCCCTGGTCAAAAAAAGGAATCACTCATCAAATAAATTTTAAAACTTAATCAAAATTAGGCAAAATTAGGTTTATTTTCTTCAGAACAACTCAGAGCCTTTAGTATGCATCTTGAATCCCTAAGAAGGGAATATACATTTCCCAAATGCATGTAATGAAGAAACTTTTTTCACTGAACAGCTCTTGGGACTAGTGTTCAGTGGAACACTGAATGGAAACTACCCTAATTTAATGGAACAATGGAAAGAGCAAGTAAAGTTCTTGCAAACCATTGTGCTTAAAACAATGTATGGAACATCAAAAGTTTTTGACAACCCTCTGTCTTAACAAAAGTAAAAGTGTCAACGTTTTCTCACAACTCCCAAACATATTTGATTATGGAATCTTTTTTCTCCCCCAGGATTTGTGGAAATACTGTGCCAAGAAACACCCTTGGAAAAATGCTTGTCTACAGAAACTTGTTCCTATTTACTAAAGTCAATTACCAGGAACAGAACCTAGCTTAGCATTACCACTAATATTGGTTGTTTGGGAGGAGATGTACTCTCAACAGTGTTTGTCCTTAGCTGGAAGCTAAGGCACACTTAGATCTCCCCTCCACTTTCCTTTTTTTTTTTTTTTTTTAAAAAACACCAAGGCAACACCACTAGAGGAAAAGCTGGGGAACCAGAACTGTCTAGGTACATTCCACATTTACTAGAAGCACTCACTAACAAGCTGCCATAAGTCTGCTTTTTCTTTCATTCTTTTTTCTTTTTCAGGAGTGACCTGCCCATCAGTTGTTACCTCACACACTTGGTTTATTACCCTTTTCATTCATTATTTATTCAAGCTCCCTTTTAACCAATACCATCATTCCTTCTTCTAGGGAGACTTTCTGTCCTATCCCTCCCTCCTACAATTACAGTTTTCTTTGCCCAGGTAATTTCTTTAATAATAAATGTATCTTTCCCCTTCATACATTCTCCTTTATCTTGCGTATTTGCCTCAAGTTGAACTCATGGTCCAGAATCAAAAGTTCCTCCACTTTGGGACAACTGTCTAAAGATGAGGTGATAAGGTCACTTTTGATTCAAACGAAAAGGCAACTGGGTTAAAAGGGGGTGGAGAGTCACAGATCTTTGTTTGCACGGGGTTTGCTGTTTGTTGTTTTTTTTTTTTTTCTTGAGACCTTTTGTTGTGAGCTTAAGAGTTTGTCCAGAGGCAACTAAATAGAAAATATAAGTTACTTAACAAGAGAAAATTCAGGGCACTCATTCTGGGTAACTTAAAGAAAAAGGGATGCTGAAGTTTGCAGAGGGGGCAGTCAAGGCACAGAACTGGGGATCCCGGGGGACGCCGAGGTCAGGGACTTGCCAGCCACGGCTCCAAGGGTTCTGGCTCCAGGTGCCTCTGCGGCCAGACCATGGTCGGCCTAACCTGGGACCTTCCTCCCCGGCCACCCTTCCCCGGGGCCGTGGAATGCCCAGAGCCCTCAGCTTCTGCGCGAGGCTGCTCTGGCTGACAGGGCCGATCGGTACCTGGTCATAAGGGGACTTCTCCAGCATCTGCGTGCACAGATCCGCGCAGAGCTGGAACTTCCTGCGCCTAAAATAGCTCCAGGCCAGGAGCAGCGGCTCCATCTCCGAGCCCATGGCCGCCCAGACCTGCCCGCAGAGCACCAAGGGCCAGCCCAAGGAAAGGCCGGGAGCGCAGAGCGCCTAGCGTCGGGCTCTACCCGGCAACGCGCGGCGGCTGGGCCTTCTTGGAGAGGTGCCCGCCGCGCGCCTGAAAACGGGAAATAGAAAACGGCGAGCCGAACTCAGCATCAGAATTTGCCCCAACGTGGCTGCAAAAAAAATGTGTACTGTTAAAAGCTGTAGATTTCATTAATTTCGAAAAGTAAGACACCATAGAGGTTGTGACTTAGACACCTCGAGGGCCTGGGGTCCTCCATCCTCCCAGGAGGCGCAGTTGCCTAGCAACCCACGCTCAGCTTCCCGGCTGTCCCCAAAAGTTCCGGGAGACGACCCTGAGTGGCATCTCCATCCTCCTCCTCCCTAAATCCTAAAACTCTGCCGTTTCTCCAGGTTCTTGTCGCGGAATCTTAATGTTGAACTACCCGGGGCTTTAAAGATTGCTTGATCCGATCCACTCCTTTTACAGATGAGAAACTGAGATAGGCTTGGAGAAGAGAAATTGCTTACCTAAAGTCTCGTGGAGTCAGGGAGCTCTGACTGTAATATGGGTGCTACAGGCTGTTAATATTTGTTAATTCGAAGATGCATAAAGATTATCAATAATGGGCTGGGGTTGTGGCTCAGCGGTAGAGCGCTTGCTTCGCACCTGGGAGACCCTGGGTTCCATCCTCAGCACCACATACAAAAATTAACAAGTGAAATAAAGGTGTTGTGTCCAACTACAACTAAAAAATATTTTTTAAAAGATTATCAATTTTAAATTTGTGATCCCCCCCCCAAGTAGATAATGCCAAAAATAATTAAAAGGAGCTTTTGAACGTGCAATTTGTCAAATGGTTGTTTGTACATAGTGATTTATTTTCTGGTGCTAATATTCCAGCTCAAGGCCTTGTGCATGCTAGGCAGGCACTTTGTCACTGATTTTTTCCGAATGATAGATATATAACGGCAGTGCTTAGAAAGACAAAAGGGCAGCCAGGCTAAATCAAGTTAGGCCTCATGGAAGAATAGGGGATCTTTTTCCTTTGCTTCCATCCTACCACAGTGGAAGGGGGGAAAAAAATTAATACTGCAGAACTTTCTGAGCTATCTAAATCTCCTTTATCACTGCAGATAACAGATTGGCAAGGCTCCTAGCAAAGATAAATCACTTGCAATTGTCTAAAATCTCTAGGAAACCATAATGCAGCTATTATATTTAATCCAGATAATTTTTTGTAGATATCAAAATGAAACTTTAATTTCTAAACTAAGAAGTGGATTTTCTCCTAGTTACTAAAAAATCCTTGTAAAAATTTTTGTATCTTGGAAGTGAGTATCAGAATAATGATTATTACAGCTGTTTTTATTATAGCTAGTCCATTTGTGTTTTCCTGGAAATGATTCTAGAACTGTAATCTGTCTTAAGGGTCTTAATGCAGCATTCCATTGTGAAGATCAGGTTTTGAGAAGGCTTACTGGTAACTGAGGGGGCCTTCTGTTATCTGAAACCATGTAAGCAGATTCCTATGTGAGTCTCCACCCTGGATCCATATTAGACCTATTTTTAAAACAAACTATTTTATAATAATTGATACATACAGAAAAGTTACAGAGATAATATCAAGTTTCCATTTACTCTCACAAAGTTCTTCCTATTGTTAGTATTTTACATTGCAATATAATGATTTCACAACTAAGGAAATAACACTGGCACTTCACTATTAGGCAAATGCTATAGCTTATGGGACTTTCAGTAGTTTTCCCCTGACATCATTTTTTTCTATTCCAGGATCCCGTTTAGGTTATCACATTATATTTAGTCATCACATCTCCTACACCTCCTTTAGTCCAAGACAATTTTTCACACTTTCCTTGTTAATAATGATCTTGACTGTTTGTTTGTTTGTTTGTTTGCTTTTTTGGTACCAGGGATTGAATCCGGGGTGCTTAACCACTGAGCCATATCCCCAGTCCTTTTTATTTTTTATTTTGAAATAGGATCTCACTAAGATGCTTAGGGCCCCACTAAATTGCGGAACCTGAATTTGAACCTGCAGTCCTCCTGCCTCAGCCTCCCAAGCCATTGACATTACAGGCACTGGGATTACAGATGTGTGCCACTATGCCAGCAACCTTGACAGTTTTGAAAACTGCTGGTCAGGTATTTTGTAGAATGCTTGGGGAGTTCTGAAAAGTACAGATGCTTAAATTCCACCTCTAGAGATGGGTGACCTAGGGATTTGGGGGAAGGGGTTTGTTTGGTTTTTTTTTGTTTTCAATTCAAATGGGCAGCTATGACTGAACCATCTTGATGACTTGTAATTGATTTGTATATACTGAGATTATTGTCAGTTTCCAAGAGAGAAAAAAAGGACTTTCATAAATAAGAAAATAAATATATCAACATGAAACAAAAAAGAGGCATTGAAATATTTTAGTAGTAATTCATGTTAACTTCTTTCAGAATGCTGATAATCTTTTTTTCTTTTACAAAATTTTTTTCTTTCACAAAATCAAACAGGTGAAGAAAATCCTGGAATATTTAGCAAACTACAGGATGTTAAGCATGTCCAAATGGAGGATAAGAGATGCCTTTACAAGGTTATAAACATTTGTTATTTTTGTATCGTGTAAATGTGTTTACAGTTAATTTTATTAATTTATAGATAGACTTTGTTGCATTTTTATCATTTCTAACTAATAAAAGAGAAACCAGTTTTTAAAAAGATAGGCTAGTAGGAAAAACATTAGATGTAACAATTCCTAATGAAGGACCATTTTACTACTAGAGAAAAGGAAGCAGAGAAACAACTTAATCCCTTTCAAAGGGTCAGTTTCTCAATCAATGCTATATCTCTGCTCACAGATCCTTATCTTTTGCTCTCAAGCAACCAGATATCTCTTTAGGTTAATTCTGTTTAAAATCAAATACCTAAGATAATGTACCTTTAAATGCAAAGGTTAAATTTTCCTAAATGTTAAATTTGAATTATTCTAGCCATTTAATTTAACCCAAAAGAAAAACAAAAAGTATAGAAAGAGATGTTCTTTTGCTCAACAAGTTTTTGTCCAGGCCCCATGCTTGGTAGTAAAAAAAATGCAGAAATGAACAAGACAGGTCTCCTGCCCCCAAGGTGTTTATACATAAAGAGTAGTTAGTGAAAGAGCACTGGAAGTGAGGTCACACTTACTGTTTCCACTCTATGGTCAGTAGAGGATATTGATTATAATTCCCATGTTCCTTGAAAGTTTTTCTCTTAAGATGTCAAATAAACTGTTTTTATATAGTTTCTTTGACAACTTACATGTCCTATTCTAACAGCTTTCTAGATGATTCATTATTCATTCTAACAACATTTATTGAGTGCCTATGTATGTCATGCATTTTACAGGATCTATAGGATCTATAGGGGATACATTAATGAGTATAACAAAGTCTCTCTCTTCTCATGAGTGGGAGGGGAAATTACATCTCTTGGTAAAGTAGGACAAGAATATCTCTTTCTATCTTAAACCATACCAACAATATACTGAACAGTGAATTCTTAGTAAAATCCAGAACACCCAGTAAAATCTAGAACAAGATTACTATAACACTAGTCTTATTTACTAGTGTTCAGTACATTCTGGAATAAGAGGTTGGTACTGAAAAGGCAGAGCTAAAATTAATGTTCCACAATTTCAGATAACTGTCTTTCTAGAAAACTTCATGACGTTGGAAATTTGGGATTTTGAAATATTTATTTTGCATTCTGTAATTAAGTGGACACTTTGATTCAATAACTCAGAAAACTATCAAAGTTTCATGTTCATTCTAATATATATAACAAATATTGTCTCTGCCTCATCCCTTTTGTGTCATTGATGTGAAGGTCAGTATTTATGACTTGTAGGGTACAGATTAAATTTTCTATAGCTCTATTCACAAATTTTCACCTTTTTTCTCAAACCTTCAAATTTATGTGAAAATATATTCATAGAAAAAATGTTTTATGCCATACAATGGTCACAATTTAGTATTACTGGCATTTCAAATCCTTGAACAATCACTTTTATTTATCTGATGAAAGATATTCTCTTAATACTCTGCTACCAGCATAGCAAATTCCAAATCAAAAAGCACTTACAAAACTAGTGACTTTCTTGAAAATAAAAAGGCCTCTCAATTTCTGTGTATGAGCTGCATTGCATTAACCTCAAATTACTGACCATCTGCCAAGATCCATTTTCCTCTTGTAGCTCCCCAATGAAGTTACCACCTGTTATTTTGGCAAAGATCTAAAGAAAGTGAAGGTACAATTATTAAACATCCCCTTTGATTTTGAATTTGCTTGTTTAAGACTGTGTTTCATAGGCAATTACACATTCACTAAGGTGATCCATCTAGGTGTTCATAGGAATATTTATCAAGTCCTTCTGATTCATATCACATACAACAGCCTAAACAGTTTTAAACTAAGCACATAAAGAGAGCTTATTATGCTCAATTGCTTTTTCTGTCAAGCTTCTTATACTCTGAAAATCAGATTCTGAAGTCTGAAAATGAATTAATTTTCAACAATTGAAGTAAGCTTAGAATTTTGTTGGTACAAATTCTATTTATGCAACCACTACCTCTGGATCCATCCTGATGTAACTGAATGTGATATGAAAGAGTTCCTGCATCTATTTAGTGGCAAGGAATCATAACAGATTTTTTAAAAAAAATATTTTCAAAAAAGAAAAAGAATAGGCCTAGTCTTTTTAGCTAAAACAATGATATCTCCCTATCATACAGCATTTGTATAGAGGGAATCCTGGTATAAATATTTAAAATGCAAAATAGAAGTTCTGATTTTTAAAATGCAGTGTACAATACATTCTTAATCCCTGCCTTTTACACTAATCTATAACAAAGACACTTTCACGTATGAGAGGAGGGCAATGAATAAGAAGGTGTCTTTAATCTGACTAGAGTACTATTCTTTAAAAAAATAAATAATAGATTCCAGGGGCTGGGGGTGTGGCTCAAGCAGTAACACACTCACCTGGCATGCGCAGGGCGCTGGGTTGGAGCCTCAGCACCACATAAAATAAAATAAAGATGTTGTTGTATCCACCAAAAAAC